ACCTTTTTTGTCTTGAAGAAAGGGGCTTCATTTATATGGGGTTATTTTGCTTGCAATGATGTCGTAATTTGCGTCTTACTCTGTTCTCAGCGACAGTTGCCTGCTGTCAGTAAGCTGGTACAGAAGGTTGACGAAAATTTTTACTGAGCAAGAAATAACCTTATTTTAATTACTAAAATTTGAGAAATGTGATTCTTGACTGGAAAAACAGATGTGTCGTGGAGGCCGAATGTTTGCACCAACCAAAACCTGGCGCCGTTGGCATCGTAGAGTGAACACAACCCAAAAACGATATGCCATCTGTTCTGCCCTGGCTGCCTCAGCCCTACCAGCACTGGTCATGTCTAAAGGTTTGTAACACTTGTATGATAAAAGAGTTTGATAGAAGAAATAAGACACCTACTGTTTGATGATTAGGGTGGTTGTTATTTACAGTAACCCATTTCAAGATGGCTAGAAGAGAATAATTTGAATGTTTTTAGCATAAAATGTTTTAGTTAATGGATATTCCAGTTGACAAATGAGGGCATTCAGTTATCAGATGTACTCCAGAAATACATGTTACATACCAGTTTAAAAAAATTTTATATCAGAGTGATACAAAATGCCCCACTTTTCTTTCACATGAATGTTTGTTAAAATTGCACATTCTTTTCATCCTGAAGTGTCTGACTAAATTTTAATCCTTTACTAAATATTAGGTCTGACTACTTAAATCTGACAAACCAATCATCAGCGAATACTAGTTTAACTGGGGAACTAACTATTCAAGTAGTGGTTTAGTATATCCTTAGAAAACTGTCTACTTGAACTTGCCTATTGTGTTCCCCACCGCATTTTTATTTAACTGTCAAAATGATGAGATTCCACTTAATTGGTCCGTGTTTCTGAAACACATGATATTTGTGGAAATTCTGACTTGGCAAATTGAATGCCATTTTGCTTTTATTGGTTGTATAAAATGTTTGATTTTTTTTTTTTTTTATTTCCCAAAAGGTTCAGGATAACCAAGTAAGTGTCAAATTGGTTTTTGTTAGGTCATCGTATTGAGGAAGTTCCTGAACTTCCTTTGGTAGTGGAAGATAAAGTTGAAGGCTACAAGAAGACCAAGGAAGCTGTTTTGCTCCTTAAGAAACTTAAAGCCTGGAATGATATCAAAAAGGTCCGTTTAATGAACACATTTACAGTTTGGTACTCCTTGTTCACAATTTGTCACTTTGAATTTCAGAAGATAAGGGTGGTATGGCTAAGCCTTAATGTGTGAGAGAACAAAAACCTCAGAGCCCGCTTACTTGGGTTTAAATCCTAACTGCCATTTAAGGCTCTGTGTAACCTTGGCAAGTTATTGTGCCCAGTTTAATCATCTGTAAAATGGAATTAAGACTCTGAAGATCTATTGCAGAAATTGTATCTTAATCAAAATACTAAAAGTGCTCACTTTGTAGGTCTATGCCTCTCAGCGAATGAGAGCTGGCAAAGGCAAAATGAGAAACCGTCGCCGTATCCAGCGCAGGGGGCCGTGCATCATCTATAATGAGGATAATGGTATCATCAAGGCCTTCAGAAACATCCCTGGTAATTAAACTGCTTACATATATTTACTAGGTATAGTCTGCAAGTCTACTCAGCTATTGTTATGATGAGATTCCACTTCATGGTCCGTGTTTCTGAAACACATGATTTTGTGGAAGTTCTGATTTATGGCTGAAAGAGTTGCACCATTGATGGTTGAAACTTCATAATTAATAAGTTCTCAGGTACCTTTTGTAGCTCTTAAGCCATAAAGATGATTTGTGTTTCTTTTGTTGAAATACAGGCTCCCTAATGTTTCTTTCCCTTTAAAAGGAATTACTCTCCTTAATGTAAGCAAACTGAACATTTTGAAGCTTGCTCCTGGTGGGCATGTGGGACGTTTCTGCATTTGGACTGAGAGTGCTTTCCGGAAGTTAGATGAATTGTATGGCACTTGGCGTAAAGCCGCTTCCCTCAAGAGTAACTACAAGTAAGTATCTTTCATATACTAAGCACAGATGTTTATATTGTGGATATTAACATTCAGAATTGGCTTACATGTTTTCTAGATAATTTTGTTCCTATTTGCCCTTATGTGCAGCAACAATATGCCAAAATGGAACTCACCTGGTCCGTGTTTTTGGTTTTTGTTGGTTTGGTTTTTGAGACAGAGTCTTGCTTACTCTCTCCCACGCTGGAGTGATCTCGGCTTACTGCAGCCTCCACCTCCTGGGTTCTTCTGTCTCAGCCTCCCGAGTACCTGGGACTACAGGTGTGTACCACCACACCCGGCTAATTTTATATTTTTGTAGAGTTGGGGTTTCACCATGTTGGCCAGGCTGGTCTCGAACTCCTGACCTCAGGTGATCCACCCGCCTCGGCCTTACCAAGTGCTGGGATTATAGGGCTGAGCCACTGCACCCGGCCTGGTCCATGTTAATGAGAAGCGATAGTGTAGTAGATATTTTGGAGAGCATAGTGGTTAAAAATAAAGCTTCAGTTGAGCTTCATGTTCTTTGGTTGATTACTTTTACACGTACATGTCAATCTTTCCCTTTCAGTCTTCCCATGCACAAGATGATTAATACAGATCTTAGCAGAATCTTGAAAAGCCCAGAGATCCAAAGAGCCCTTCGAGCACCACGGTAAAGTGACACTTAGAGTGTAATTCTTGCCCTAATCCTATACTATTGGTTGTTTCAAAAATTCGTATGTGTATAAAGTTAAGTGTTGATCCAGTGTTTGCCTTTTTATAGCAAGAAGATTCATCGCAGAGTCCTAAAGAAGAACCCACTGAAAAACCTGAGAATTATGTTGAAGCTAAACCCATATGCAAAGACCATGCGCCGGAATACCATTCTTCGCCAGGCCAGGAATGTGAGTGGTTTTGTTGTTGTTGTTTGTTTTAGACGGAATCTTGCTCTGTCACCCAGGCTGGAGTGCAGTGGTGCAATCTTGGCTCACTGCAACCTCCACCTCCCAGGTTCAAGCAATTCTCCTGTCTCCGCCTTCCGAGTAGCTGGCACTACAGGCGCACGCCACCATTGCAGCTAAATTTTTCATTTTCAGTAGAGACGGGGTTTCACCATATTGGTGGGGCTAGTTTCAAACTCCTGACCTCAGGTGATTCACCCGCCTCAGCCTCCCAAAGTACTGGGATTACAGGCATGAACCACCACGCCTGGCTGGGTTTTTTTTTTCCTACTGATACATTAAGTTCTTAGAATAATTTGATTCTTATTGTTTTCTGCCTAATTTGTTGCAGCACAAGCTCCGGGTGGATAAGGCAGCTGCCGCAGCAGCAGCACTAGAAGCCAAATCAGATGAGAAGGCGGCGGTTGCAGGCAAGAAGCCTGTGGTAGGTAAGAAAGGAAAGAAGGCTGCTGTTGGTGTTAAGAAGCAGAAGAAGCCTCTGGTGGGAAAAAAGGCAGCAGCTACCAAGAAACCAGCCCCTGAAAAGAAACCTGCAGAAAAGAAACCTACTACAGAGGAAAAGAAGCCTGCTGCATAAACTCTTAAATTTGATTATTCCATAAGGGTCACATCATTTTGGACAGCTTCTCTTGAATAAATATCTGATCATGCAGGCAGTGAGAAACATGGCTTGTTGGTGTGTTCTGTAAAGCTTGGTTATAATTTTTTTTAAGTGACATTTTGTTGGCCATAATTTAGACTGTTCCATTTTATACTGAGTCCATGGAGTTCAATGGAAGGGGAATGATTAAAAAATTACGATTTTTTAACGATTTTTTAAATAATGTGGCTTAAAAGTAAGTGTAACAGGACTTGGTGAGAAACGCAGAGGCTGTTCAAGTTTAGCTCCCTGCCAGGTGGAAAATAGGTTAAATTCTGTAAATATTTAACACTTTAACCACAAGAGGGCACAATTGGAGAACACAATTTTTTTGGTACTGCAGTAAAATTGATTACCTTTTGAAAAGTGTTCTTTTTAACTAGCTATGACAATAGAGTTGAATATTTTCACCCATGGTTTGAAAAAGTGCCAGAAGGCCACACTTGTAATCCCAACACTGGGACCCTAAGATGGGCAAAGCACTTGAGGCCATGAGTTCAAGACCAGCCTGGCCAACATGATGAAATTCCATCTCTACTGAAAATAAAAAAAAATAGCTGGTCATGGTACACGTCTGTAACCCCAGCTACTGGGGAGGCTGAGGCAGGAGAATCACTTGAACCTGGGAGGTGGAAGTTGCAATGAACCAAGATTGTACCATTGTCCTCCAGCCTGGGCGTCAGGGTGACTGCCCCAAAAGTACCGGAAGCATTTTTCAGGGCTTCATGTGTGTCTTGGTGATTATGTTAACCAAGTGTGTCCAAAAGAAATACCCATGAAATGCCTCCAGATACAAGGGGCTTTTTTAAAATAACCCATAAAGCTAAACTGCAAATACTACCCTAGAATTAACCTCTTGTCCTGTGTCAGTCTTGTTTTGCGTCTGGATTGTTAAACTCAGCTTCCCTGTGACAACAGTCTCAAACTGTCAAGACATTCTCAAAGTTCATAGCCAAGGTGATCTGTTACCTTCCCCATTTCCAGGGCCAAATCTCAGTTCTTAAGCACATCATTTCTTAGCACGGCTTTATTTTCATGCTCTTTAGTTCTCTATTTTGTGCAGCCTTACCCCTTTAAAGTCCACTGTGAGTCCTACCCTGCAGACCCTCTTAACACAGTAGAGTTCATGTGCTACTGATTTGGTGCCTGCCTTCAAATACATCTGCAGGTTTTGTGGGGTTAAAAATAGCCACTTGCTGGAACACCACATTGGAAGTGCTGTTCACCCGGTTATTTGAAACGGTGTTTGACCACTTGGTGTGGAAATGGCCTATCGTATTAAAGGATGGCCAAACCCAAGATTTCTTCAGGTTCTTTGCCGCTCCATGGATCTAATTTCGAAATCCTGATCGTTACTCATGAATCAAGGTGTTTTGACACAGGCACCTTCCTGCAGCTCGTCGCCCGCGGAGTGGCCAGGTTACGGCGGGCGCCGGAAGGGGGCGCATCCCTCGCCTTTCCCCAATGTGGCGGGCAGCCCCGTCTCCCCGCTCGGTTTCCGGGAGTCGGTGGCGATGGCGTCATCACCGAGCGCCGGGCCGACGGCAGCGCGGAGGTCGGCTGTGACCAGGGAACATGCTGAGCCGGCTTCAGGAACTGCGCAAGGAGGAGGAGACGCTGCTGCGGTTGAAGGCAGCCCTGCACGACCAGCTGAACCGCCTCAAGGTGACCCCGCGGCCCTCTCCCGCGCCTCCTCCATTCCTCCCGAGCGACCCCCCAACCTGGGCCTCTGCGGTGCAGACCCCCCAACCTGGGCCTCTGCGGTGACCACCTGATGCGGTCAGTTCTCCCCTACTCACTATCAGTGGTGGCGCCAATTTACAGGTTTACAAACAAACAGGTATCTGAATCACCTGGGGAGTTTGCTGTGCGCTTCTTAGGCCCCACTCTCAAAAATTTGACCTCGCAAGTCTAGGGTGAGGCCCAAGGATGTGTGTTTGGCAAGTGCAGTCCTACCTCTGCTTCCTGTAAATGTTAATGGCCCTCAGCACTCTGAGGAAGTGCTCCCTCCCGAAGGCTCCCTAGACCCCTCTGGCCACCGACCCCTTCCTCCTGAGCTGCTGTTTTCTAGTTTGCCTTGGCGCTTGAAATGGCTCTGGTTTTGCCAAGCCAGAAGGAACTCCCAGATCCTCCCATGCCACCAAGGAAGACACTGAGGCCCTGGGAGAAGAGACTTGTCCTAACGTTTGGAGCTTCCAGACGCCATGGCCTTGAGGAGTCGGGATTTAGGCCCACGTGGGCCACTTCCCAGACCTGTGCTTAATGCAGCCCCTCAGCCCGGGGTATATAGTGAGACCTCGTCTCTACAAAAAATTGAGACAGAGCCTCACTCTGTCGCCCAGGCTGGAATGCAGTGACACGATCTCGGCTCACTGCAACCTCCGCCTTCTGGGTTCAAGCGAGTCTCGTGCTTCACCTTCCCAAGTAGCTGGGATTACAGGCGTGCACCACCATGCTTGGCTAATTTTTGTATTTTTAGTAGAGAGGGGGTTTCGCCATGTTGCTCAGGCTGGTTTCGAACTCCTGAGCTCAAGCGATCAGCCAGCCTCGGCCTTCCAAAGTGCTGAGATTACAGACTTGAGCCACCACGGCCGGCCTTACAGAAAAAAAATTAAAATTAGCTGAGCGTGATGGTGCGTGCCTGTAGTCCAGCTACTTGGGAAACTGAGGTGGGAGGATAGCCAGAGACCAGGAGGTCAAGCTGCAGAGAGTCCAGATTGTGCCACTGCACTCCAGCATGCGCCATACGGGGAGACCCTGCCTTAAAAAAAAAAGTCCTGGGGAGGTTATTATGCTAATCCCTGCTCAGCATCCTTTTCAGCATCTTTTTTTTTTTTTTTTTTTTTTTTTGAGACAGAGTTTCACTGTTGTTGCTCAGGCTGGAGTGCAATAGCGCGATCTTGGCTCACTGCAACCTCCACCTCCCGGGTTCAAGGGATTCTGCCTCAGCCTCCCAAGTAGCTGGGATTACAGGCATGCGCCACCACGCCGGGCTAATTTTTTGTATTTAGTAGAGACTGGGTTTCACCATGTTGGCCAGGGTGTACTTGAACTCCTGACCTCAGGTGATTACCCACCTCCAGCTCCCTAAATGCTGGGATTACAGGTGTGAGCCACTGGGCTTGGCCCTTTTTCAGAAACTAAGTCCATATGAGGTGAGGATTACCAAAGCCCTTTGTAAAATGAAAAGTATACCTATGACATACCAAAATCATAAGCATTTTTCCTTGGGGAAGTTGTATTTTTAGTAGAGACGGGGTTTCACAGTGTTAGCCAGGATGTTCTCGATCTCCTGACCTCATGATCCGCCCGCGTCGGCCTCCCAAAGTGCTGGGATTACAGGCATGAGCCACTGCACCTGGCCTCCTTAGGGAAGTCATAATGTCCTCCACTTATTTGTGTCCCTGTATTCCCACAGTACCCAGTACCTAATGAGTATATCGATGACCACCTCCAAAGCCCAGATTTCCTTATGCTTCAGCTGACACCTCTGTTTTCTATTCTTTCCTTCACCTTCTCATTACTGAGTTGACAGCCTCAGGTCCAGGGAATCTCTGAGGAATCAGATGACACTTGGCTGTTTTAATGACACACTTGTACTTTGAGTTGCTAGGTCTGGGGAAGTGGAAGCCATGACTCAGCCAGAACACCTGTTCAGCCCAGGGGAAAAGGCCTGGAGTCTTTCTTTACTCATCTCCTTAAAAGAGAGAAAACCTAAGAGCCTCCAACTTTCCCTCTAGAGCAACACAGAGATAGTTTTCATTCCCTCTCTTGATACAAACCTTTCATGCTGTGCCCAGCAGTTTAACCACATCCAGTGAAATAGTAAGGAAAAGTGTCCTCAACTCTTCTTTTCTAGGTTGAAGAATTAGCCCTCCAATCAATGATCAGTTCTAGAAGAGGGGATGAGATGCTGTCTTCTCACACTGTACCTGAACAGTCACATGATGTAAGCTTAATCAAGTGCAGGCCTAGGAGAGAATGCAAAGTCTGCTCTGCTCCTATGCTGCTTGGGTGGTGAAGAACTGTTGTAAATCACATTACCTAGCCCAAAGGGCTCTGGAAAGTGCTGATAAGAATTTTCTGGTTTAATAAGGTGGCAACTCTACATTACCCACCTTCCTACCAGCTGGTTATACACTAATTAATTTATTAAGTAGTTACTAATGTTTTACCTCCATCCTCCTCATCATCCATTCTGTCTAATTACTCACATGAACCCCGGGGGAGAGTGATATTTGTAGGGATATATCAAAACTCTTGCTTTTTTGTGAATAAGTAACCTTGGGATTCGAGAGTGTGACTTCAAGTACAAAGCACAGTGCTAAAAGATGAGTTCCAGTCCTCATCATACTCATCTCTTACCAAATGCCCTCAAGTCAGCAAAATCATATTTCTAAATACACAATATTTGAGTTCTCCCAGATTTTGTGTGTTAAGACATTTAAAACTATGATACAGCAGCACATGTAAGTTGGCACAAATCTTATGGAGCTTTCTGTAATAATGTTTGTAAATGAGGTAACATTCTAGTGAATCAGGGGCATTTACCTTTGCCCCATTTTGGTAATGGAGGTGGGCGTATAAAAGGAAAGTGGCCATACCTCTTAGTCATAAGTACTGGGGATAGATACACAATTGAGATCTGATTTTAAATCATTTTTAAGAATTTGCTGTTTTGAGGCCAGCATCTTTCCTACTAATCTGTGATGCCCTTGGCCAATACAGATGTTGGTGCATGTAGACAATGAAGCATCAATCAACCAAACGACCCTGGAGTTGAGCACAAAGAGTCATGTGACGGAAGAGGAGGAAGAAGAGGAAGAAGAATCATCAGATTCCTAAAGGGGGAAAGCCAGGCTGGTCAGTTATACAAATTGCATTTCTAAGTCTCAGGCACTTCTCCTCAAGGAACTCATCTTGCCCTGGGCCCTGTGATCTGCTTGAAAGGAAAGCAAGAACTATAAGGAGGATGTGTAGTTGCAAAAATGACTCCATCCGTAACTCAAGCTTCAGAATGTTATGACATACAGAAAATCAAAGATGCTGTGTCTTAGCATTGAGCAATATGGGTGGTGCTGTCTGTAATCTGGTCAGATTCGGTTAACTGTTCAAAACATTTTCCTCTGAAATACTGTTAGGAAAGTCTGACATTTGCAAAAAGAGCAGAGTTTAAATACAAGCCAGTCTTTCCAGTCAACAATGCCTCTTTGAAGAAAACCAATTAAAGGCTGTTTGCATGCCGCTGAATCAGTCTAGGACAGAAAGATGACAAGGGGAAGGACTGAGGGCCATCTGAGAGCACAAGCTTGCTACCTCTCAGAGGCATTGAAATACTGCATGCTATAAACTGCTTTGTGTAGCTGTTATCACCTCTCACTTGAGACATCACTCACTGGTAAAATGTTTTTATAAATAAATTATAAATAGCCATCATGGAGCCTGCTGGTTTCTAGATCGTGACAGAGAAGCAGCAGTTCCTTCTCTGAGGAAAAGATACAACAGGATGGTTTGAAATCCATTTCTAGCCCTTAAGAGAGATGTGCCATGCTTGGAAGACTGGATTTTTTTTTGTTATTTGTTTGAGACAGTTTCACTCTTGTTGCCCAGGCTGGAGTGCAATGGTGTGATCTCAGCTCACTGCAACCTCCCCCGTCTGGGTTCAAGTGATTCTCCTGCCTCAGCCTCCCGAGTAGCTGGGATTACAGGCACGCATCACCATGCCCGGCTAATTTTGTATTTTTAGTAGAGACAGGGTTTCTCCATGTGGTCAGGCTGCTCTCGAACTCCCAACGTCAGGTTTTCTGCCCGCCTCAACCTCCAAAAGTGTTGGGATTACAGGCGTGAGCCACTACGCCAGGCTAGAAGACTGGATTTTTGTAACAGAGTAAGAGTTGTTACTTCATATTTGAAGTTGAGGTTCATTTCTGCATACTGTCCCTTTTCCACTAACTACTATACTGTGAAATAAGTAGTTGCTTAATTTTATAAAATTAATTTCCCCTGCTCAAGCAACAGTAAAAGCCAAACAAAACACAAAGAATCATGTCAAGCAGAACTTATGCAGCAGTTCCCAAATAAAGCAAAGAATACCTTTTTTTGTTAATCCACATTTCATTGAAGTTATTTTGAGCTGCTCTTAGAGGAAACAGCCAGAAGTTTAAATGAGCATGTTACTTAGAACACACAATAGGAAGATAGTTTGGGAACAAAAAGCATCAAGGTACATAAATTTTGGGGGTCTTATTTACAATACAAGCATGGGTTTGCAAAGTTGGAAAGATTGACTATGAATTCCAGCTCTACCACTAACTGCTCCCTTGTCCTCCCACCTCTTTGCAACTCACTTTCCCATCTGTAAGGTGAAGATACATGTGTTCTAGCAGTTTCACAGGTTGCTATGAGGTGCTAATGAGATCATTTGAAACTCCTACTATCATTGGTATCTCAGTAAGAATCTGGCACTGGGAGCTCAAAACACTGCAAGATTCATGCGGGGATCATAATTCTTGGTTAAAAATTTAAAAACAAAAAAATCTAAGCACCCCTCAGAAGACACTGAGCATGAAAGTGGTCAGATCTGGGTTTTGGATACCGGTTCATAACATTTCTCCTAAGGATGTAGTATTCTCATTTTAATGAAACATTCTCAGTAGTGGTGGTATCCTGTCATTTGTAAAAGACACAGGGTGTAAATGTTAAAACCCAGCCTGAATGTTTATGTGTTGAAAATGTGTAAGTTGAACTGTTGACTTAGAAAAGCTATACCTCACAGTGAGAAAAAAAAAAAAAGCTGACTAGCTTAGGCAGCAGTATATACAACACTGATCATTTTTTACAAATCCTGGCAGTATCCCAATTTCTGGTACCTCTAGATTGGAACTACCTACTTAGAAGATATTTACTCTTGTTTTGTTTTTAATCTAAAAAGGAATGGGCCTTTTATTTATAAATATACATGTTGCTTTTAGTTTCTATAACCTGCCCTTTCAAAGAAAATAATGAGGGGAGAGGTATTGACCAGACAGCCTCAAATGTACCTAAAAGTTCCCAAAGACTTCTCAACTAAGGAAAGGGATCCTGTGGCCAGTGGGCCATGGCTTTGTGACATCACTGCCACCTCACAGGCATGACAAAGCCAGCATCAGGCACATTCCTCCTTTCCAGGAAGGTGTGCCTAAGTGTAAGTGGTGAAAGAAGGGAAACCATTGCTTAATGCCCCAAAGCAAACAGACTATCCTGTCGTGCAGAAAGCTCCCACACCAGGTAGGCAAGCTGGTTACCAGCAAGGCCCTCCTGTGGGCATGACAGCCTGGAAGTGCAGACAGGCCCCAGCTCAACTATTGGTATATGGAAAATGAGAAATGTTCTGTGAGATAAGAAATATTTTGTGATTTTTCTCAGATTTGCTCCCAGACCCCCATCTGCTGCTTTTCCCTTGTATAAAGAGATCAAAGGAATATACAGGATCTATTCACAGGTCCCACAAGGAAGGGGATTGGAAGAACAGAGAATGGTGTGGGATGAGAAGAGGTGGACTGAGTCCAGAGACTGAAATTACAGGAAGCCCCATTAGTCCAAAGCACTGAACTTGGTGTGGTGTTTCTGCCTTCCAGCCTCCTCCTCATCTTCACCTTTCCCCTTCACCAATAATGCTTGGCTCAACCAGTATTTCTTGCATACTAAAGAAATTGAAAAGCTTACCACAAAAGCAAAAGTAGCTTTCATCCTTTTTTTTTTTAAACTTCATAGTATATTTATTAGAATAAGAGATTAGATTTGTTAAACATCTAGGTTAAAATGGTTAAAAGGATTTTCATACAATTTTAGGCACTATACACGTTGTTTACAACAGCATTGGTACTTGAATATGGAGAAAGATAAATCTGACCTTTTAATGCCTTGATCAATTTGTGACATTCAAAATAATTCCACCATTTAAGAAACATTAATAAAAACTTAAAGAGACATACCACTAAGTATCCCACACAGTATACTGAAAATAAATATAGAAATACAACCAGAAGTCTACAGATCACCACAGTAGACAGACTGGTGAAGCCCCAGCTATCATGGCAGTGAAGGGCTCTGGCTAGATTTGGATGTAAACTGCTGAATTCTACATGAAAAGCTAATAATAATAAAATAACATGATGTATACTTTCTGATGCTCATTTTCATAGCAGCAAAGCATGCTTCACATGCACTGCCTGTGAAGGATCTCACAAGGCTCCCTCCTACTCAGAGAGAAAGTACGCCCAGCAAGAATAAAGTACCACCAAATGTCAAAGAATCCCGAAAATACAGGCAGCCAGCCAGTCATGGAGCAGGAACAGCAGTGCAATTGTAAGAATGACTACCCACAGTCACCAAAATTTCACTGTAATTCAGCCTGGCACGCGTTTTGATCATCAACATACACACAAATAGCCCCAAGCACAAAGCCAATCCACTTAGGGGAACAATAATAGTAATAAGAATAAAGACAGTAATATTAAAAATGACAAGAGTAGAATCTTGGCACATGCTGTGTTCTTCATCCTTTGTCACAGGTGAAATGCACATCTGAACAGAGGCATGGGAAGGAGGCCTGAAAGTGACATGGCAAACCACTGGGCAGGGGACTCGCTCTTTGCTGCTTCCTAAACACTTAGACGCCAGCAGCATGGGTTGGTGTGCTAGGCTGGTGAAGGCCGATAGTGGAGCAGAGCCAACCTGCAAAATCCACTTCCTCAGCATCAGATCTCTTGATAAAAGCATGAACCTGCATGTAAGGAAACGAGAGAACATGGTGTTAAAAAGAAACAACAAAAACACCCACCAGGAAGGAAAATCCCAAGAGTTTCAGGTCTAGAGCTTGTGCTGCACTTGGAAGGAGCACCTGGCACCTGCCCCTAAGCAGCAGTGGGGCCAACTGCAGGCCCAAAGACCCACTCCATCAGTCACAGCAGCTGTGAGGCCTTGGGCAAGTCACCTCTTGGAGCCTACTCTTGCAGTATGGACACAGTAACTCTGCCTTAAATGCCTCACAGGCTTGTTAGAAGGGACAACGAAAATGATGGACTTAGTGCATATTATGCAGAGTCTGGCTCTCGAGATATTTACAGTATTACTTAGCTAATTCCACTGCCACCAAACGAAACAGCAGGCGGAGGGTGACTCAGGAAGGAGGCTGAATGTAAGGTGAGGCAGGCAGTATTAGGGAAAGGACCCATCCCCATGAAGGGGGTGGGCTGACCTTTTCTTTCCCATGGCCCCCTAAGGCCTTTCTCTGGCATGCTTACTCAGGCTGCAGGGGTCACCCCAGCTTTCCCTTAAACTGATGAGAGGGCAGAGGAGACTGGTGTTTGGTATTCTGCAGCCCCAGGCTCAGCTGGACCACAGTGGGCAGGGAATGGATGGGCTCTGGAAGTACTGCACAGGTGACTGACAGAGAACAACAAATGAATAAACAGGTACTGTAAGAATCTGGAATAAATGGACTCACCATGAGTTGCTTCAAATCGGCTCTCTCTGCGGGGTTTTTTATTAAGCTTAAAGGAAGAAAGACAAGGTGAGAGCTATTGCCTGGCACTGGTTCTAGCTCAAATAACATGTTTGCATGCCTGTCTTCTCTGCATACTAGAGGCTGAGGATTGCCTGGGCTTGACTCATCCTCCGGTTCTAAGCACAATATCATGCCCACAGTAAGTTAATACATTCTTGCTGAATCAAAAAGCAATGTGCCAGTCCCTGGAGAGCAAGTACCAAAAGGAGCAGCTACTACATCCATGATGTAGTTAGACATGTCACATAAGTCTTGGCACTCTAAAAAAGGGCTTATGGCAGCAGCTGAGAATCAGAGGGGAGGGGAAAGGGCAAAGCTGTGCCTGTAGAAGCAAAGCTGGTGCTTCCAGAAATGGGGTGGGGAGCCTGACAAATCCAGAGTACCCTTCCAGAGAACAAGGAGCCAACTTACCATTTATTCACAAAATCTTGAAATTCCAGACTGAAAACTCCACTGGGCAATTTTGGAGGAGGCTGCAAACACATGTTGAGATAAGAAAAATGCCTGGCTCCTTGCTCCAGCCATCTCCTCTCCCCATCCCACCCCTCCTGCCAGCCAGTGCTATTTTTTTAAAGTCTTCTCTGCAGTCCAAAGGCAGTGCTACTCTCATCCAGTCAAGGAAAGGCACAGATGGAAGGCCAGTGCTGCCTTTTGGGTAACCATTTTGGAACCACTGGTCTCAAATAGCACACTTAGAACTGGGACCAAGTCAAGTCCACTCACTTGTCTGGTGATTTTGAACTAACCACTGTTCCTTTCTGAGCCTCAGTTTACTCTTCTATGACATGAAGAGGTTGGGCCTAATGATCTCAGGGACCCTTTTAAGCTCTGAAACTCTACAATGGTAAATCTTGGAGTGCGACATGGAAACGTAACCAGCAATTTACTGGCAGCAACAGCTAGGGGCACATGCAAACCACCAGGCTAGCCCAGGTCTGACAGCACCTGCAGAAGCAAACCGGTTTTTAAAAATCCCTTTTCTGAGCCCTAGAGAGGCAGTGCAAAGTTGATGAAACATTAACTGACAGGGCTGGGTCTGGAAGAATGTTACCTGCACACTCCACAGTGAGGCTGTTGTCAGATCCCCAGAGCGATCGTGCAGCGCTATACACTACAAGGCTCTGGAGCACTGGGCGCACGGTGTTCCATGCAGTCCAGGAAATGTGGGCCCACTTACACACCCGGGCTGGGAGCTGCATGTAGCTTCTTTGGGAGGTGCTGACCCACAGACATAATGTCCATGATGTCACTGCTCTGATGTACAGCCCCAAATCTCATTTTTAATTTGAGATTAAAAACGAGACACTGATCCCCACCACCACAAAGCCCAACCTAGTGCTCTTCCTCTGAGGGCCATGTCAGTCTGATCTGAGGTGAGGACTAGAACTCAGCTCTTAGAACAGTGACCCAGAGCAAGTCCTACTCTGCAGACTGTCCCTGCTGCTGAGGGAATCAAGGGACTATTCAAGGGAGAGAAGAGACCAGCAGCTTGGCCTCCAGAGGCAGCATCCATTCCTTCTGAACAGGAAAGAGCTACGCAACAGAGGGGCTGTGTGTCAGCAGAGGCTGCAGTGGATCAACTGCCATGCAGCCAAGCCTCCTAGGAGGTAAGAGTGGGAGGTGGGAGGTGGTGAGGAAGAAAGAGCACTGGGTGGGAATGACGTGGGCTACGTTTCATCTTGGAGGCTCAATTTCCTCACCTGTTTGAAAAGGAACCAATTTGGCCTACCTCAGCAATGCTTGGGAGAATCACATGGGAAATTAATGTGAAAATCTGGAAGAGAGCAGTGCACGCTAGGAGGCCAGCAATGGCATATCTAACCTCAGATATCCCTTCCCTTAATATGACGACCACCCGGCACCACCCAGCTTAGGTCCACAGCAGTAGAGGATAGATGGCTCTTTTTCTGACTCCCACAAATGCAACATGCTCTGCCTCCCTCATTATCCTTAAGCAGCAATGATCTGATCCTGACACTGCTTTTCTACAGCCTGTGGTGCTTAGTATAAAGCTGTGCATACAGTAAAGAGAGGTATATTAAACTCTAGTAGACTGAACCTGTGATGGGGATGTTTTTTGGTTTTTGTTTTTTCAGAGCCAACCTCTGCCTCCCAGGTTCAAGCAGTTCTCATGCCTCAGCCTCCCGAGTAGCTGGGACTACAGACGTGCACCACCATGCCCAGCTAATTTTCATATTTTTAGTACAGATGGGGTTTTGCCATGTTGGCCAGGCTGGTCTCGAACTCCTTAGCTCATGTGATCCACCTGCCTCAGCCTCCCAAACTGCTGGGATTACAGGCATGAGTCACCGTGCCCAGGATCTGGGTGTTTTCTTAAGATGAGCAAGTAAATTCCAAGGTGAAGGAA